TTTTCTACTGTATAAAAATTTAGGTTTGTTCGTACTTTCTACGATACCATACCGTTCATCAGATTGCGGTAAAGCTTAGTCAACTTCTTGGTTGCACTTGTGCGAAGGTTATACGCATGGTACAATTAACTTACACTAGGTGGCGTGCGTATTATACTGACTATTTATTTGAAAGTTATAGAAAGTTATATATCATTCTATATCAATGATTGTATTATCATTCCTAACTATACAATATAACTGTTCCACATTTTTAACGATATTTCCACAATTACTTCTTCTGCGGCAGCAATGCGCAAGCTAGCAAGATAATATAAAAAAATATAAACTTTGAATTACTTAGTTATCAATTATTTACAACGTCATTTTCAGAAATTAAGATTACAATATTAAAAAAATTTAAATTATCAATTACCGATCCCGATATGTGAATGGAGCCAGGAAAAAACGAGCACTTGGAAGCATCAAGTGGTGCAGCCTCACCAAAGTCCCGAAAGACAGTCGTTCAAAATACAGATTTTTAAACAAGACAATTTAAATAAGACAACAGACTAGGTTTCCATGTCTACGCAACAGACTTTTGTATATTAAGGCCGAATACGAAGAGAACTGGCGAAAATTAATGTATTTCTCTTGACTAGAACTTTGACCTGAAGTAATTCTAAGCTTTAAAACATTTTTGTAGGCTTGTTCGGGTCCTTCACAATGTCACAGTCATTTTAAAATTTTAAAATAAATGAATATACCAATAAATAAAAGAATGTTAAGAAATGATATATAAAATTTTTGTTCTTGCAAAACTCTGTGAATTTTAATTTAGGAAAAATTCTTTTACGTAAAAATGTTTGTATTGTAATTCCGAAGGTACCTGCTATCTTTATTTTCGATACAAAATATTATTTATTAACATAATTCGTTTTAATTAAAAACACCTAATAATAATATCGTATATTGCCAGATAAAAGTTTGCCGTAATAAATTACCAGGCGCTTCGACGTGTGACGTAAGGTAACAACAGTCGATGTGTCTGTAGCGAAAATCGTTAATTTATTGTTTTATACGCGTTTAAGTGTCTATAAATGTAAATATGGGTAGGAAAAGAAATAAATGTTACCTAAGTGGTAAAACAAAGAGAGTTTATCGCATGAACGCTGCTCGAATGTTGTATTTTGAGGTTAATACTTATATTTAGTAAGGTAATTTTTTGTTTGAGGCTGCCTAATAGGTTGCATTTTTACTCATTTACATTAGCCAAACTGATCGTTTATACTTTTCTAGTTTCAAGTGATAAACACTAAAAATGTAAAATATCAAGACTCAGTCGGAAAAGAATTTACAGAGTAGTGCAAGCACGGAGACCGCAAATAATGTCAGTCAATGTATTGTCCGAAAGCATGGGGTAAAAGTACATAAAAAACCGAAATACCGAAATACTTCGGATGTGAAGTGATTGACCAGTCGGAGTAGTCTTGTGAGAATTTACATACACAGTACCTATCCCCACTATGGGGCCATAACCGACTTTTTTAGTTTTTTTTCTTTATTATTTATGCAATTTGCATTACGGCATATTAATAAATATAAATAAGACTCACAAGAACAAACATTTTCAGTTATATGAGATTCTTTACGTACGATGCACCAATTAAGAAAAAAAATCGTTATCAATTCAATAACTTTTCGAACAATATTTTATAACGAATAAAGTACAGAATTTATAATCTATTGGAACTAATATTATAAATAAGAAAAATTTATTTAAGAAGTAAGCAATGCTCTCTATGTTGTTCATTACTCTGCATCTGAGCTAGTTCAGTTAAATATAATCAAAGCCCGTACGGCTTTGATTATAGGTATTATACATGTCTATATAAACAAAGCGTAGGTACTGGCGGCGCGTGGTTTGCTGCGAAACTAGCAAGGTCATTCGCGTCGTATTCGGCCTTAAGTCAATTTTAGTTTCCAAAACGACCGTTATCATCATCATCATCATCATTACAGCCCTTCACAAGTCCACTGCTGAACATAGGCCTCCCCCAAGTAATGCCACAAAGCACGGTCCTGAGCCACCTGCATCCATCGACTTCCTGCATGTCTTACCAGGTCGTCACTCCATCTAGTGGGGGGTCGCCCTACACTACGCCTACCGGTACGAGGCTGCCACTCGAGAACCTTTCTTCCCCATCGGTTATCGGTTCTTCGAGCTATATGGCCGGCCCATTGCCACTTCAGCTTACTAATCCGTTGGGCTATGTCGGTCACTCTGGTTTTACTGCGGATATCCTCATTTCTGAGTCTATCACGCAGAGAAACTCCGAGCATAGCCCTCTCCATAGCTCGCTGAGCGACCTTAAGCGTCCTCATACGGCCAGCAGTGAAGGACCACGTCTCAGATCCGTAAGTCATCACTGGCAACACGCACTGGTTGTACAATCTAGTTTTTAGAGATTGAGGTATACCTGACGAAAAGATATGCCGTAATTTCCCGAACGCTGCCCAGCCGAGTTGAATCCGTCGATTGACCTCTCGGTCGAAGTTGGACTTACCTAGTCGGACTATTTGTCCCAGGTAAACGTATTCGTCAACAACTTCGAGCATAGTGCTCCCAACAACTACCGGCATAGGTGTGACATGGACATTGAACATGATCTTTGTTTTGTCCATGTTCATCTTAAGACCTATCCGTTGGGAGGCACTATTGAGGTCATTGAGCATAGTGCTTAAGTCCTCCAGCGATTCTGCCGTAAGGACTATATCGTCGGCAAATCGAAGGTGAGTGATGTACTCGCCATTGATGTCAATACCGTATCCTTTCCAGTCCAGTAGCTTGAAAACGTCTTCCAATGCAGCGGTGAAGAGTTTCGGGGATATAACGTCACCCTGTCTTACACCTCTCTGCAGTTGGATAGGTTTCGAGCTCTGGTTCTGTACTCGGATAGCCATCGTAGCCCTACTGTACAAACACTTCAGCACTTCGATATACCGACAGTCAACTTGGCACCGCTGAAGGGACTGTAGCACCGCCCAAATTTCGACGGAATCAAAGGCTTTCTCATAGTCCACATACGCCAGGCAAAGTGGCAGATTGTACTCTTCAGTCTTCTGTACAATCTGCCGCAGGGTATGTATGTGGTCTATGGTACTGAAGCCTTTTCGGAAACCGGCTTGTTCGGGAGGCTGGAAGTCGTCAAGTCTGCGTGCGAGACGATTCGTAATGACTCTCGAAAACAGCACGTAGACGCGGCTCAGAAGGGAAATCGGTCTGTAGTTCTTTAAGAGAGCGTTGTCGCCTTTCTTAAAGAACAAGACCACCGCACTTCTGCTCCACGCCTCTGGAGTAGTGCCACCATGGAGGACGGAATTGAAGAGCTTCTGAAGGACTTCAAGTACCGGTGTTCCACCCGCTTTCAGAAGCTCCGCTGTAATTCCATCCTCGCCTGGGGCCCTGCCGTTTTTAAGGTGCTGGAGAGCCATTCTAATCTCGCTTAGACTGACGTCCGGGATATCATCGGAATAGTGTCGGATAAGATAAACGACCGTTAGGGGTGCTCAAATTGGCACAGACATTTTGTATGGTATAGCCAGTCCAGCGTACTTGTATATATAGAGGTCAGTGGCTAACTATTAATGTAAACCATGAAACAAATGCTCCGATGGTGATGTGATACTCAAGACAACGTGTTTCACGGCGGCGTCTTGAGATACTGTCGTCATCAATTATTTGCCTGCTGGCTGAAACTGTCATCAAAATCTCCAAAAAACTTCGCCATTGGTCTTCGCATCATCCTATTGTGAAAAAGTTTTTAAATAAAATTATTTTAATAAAATAATTTCATAATACTTGACACTGGAAAAAAGAGACGGCAAAAATATAAATCAAAGTAGTTCGGTAAATAAATATCGAAACACGAATTGCCCGCGTACTTTAAAATTTAATAAAAAGAAAGTACTACCTACCATATTTCCTTTTCATAAAAGAATGCGTCATATTACCCTCTGTCTTTACTATTTTCTTACAGGCAATGAATTGCAGACAAAATAAGTTGTAGTAATAGTTATAGAACCTAAAATTACTTTGCCTAACTGTCCATCGTAAAACATGATAAGAAACAAGTGTAAGAAGATTAGTGACAAAGTCATCGTCAAATATAGAAAAAACAATAATGAAAATCTTTACGTCAAAAATAAAAACTATCAAAATTCTTCAACAAATTTAAATAAACTTTTGCAAAATATGATATAAAACACAACTACATCCTATATTTGATGGTGGCCTTAATTATTATGGGTAAGTTACTAGGTTATTAGGTCCCTACATAGAAACTGTTCATAAATAGTCATTCCTACTTTGACAAACTACTTGAACAAGAAGCCATTAACTCGAATCAACTGCCACTCATGATTTCACGAAGAACTAACGATAAACTTACTAGGTTTGATAATGAAAGTTGAGTTTCTTTTACCAATACTAGTTGCGCAAAACCATGCCTAACTTGAATTAAGAAATTATTTATTGAATTGAGAAATAGGTAGTGTAATGAATACGATCAGTTATTTAAAAATTTCGTTTCAAATTTTTAGTTTAAATAAATTCTTAGTATACTTAGTTTTGATATCCTTTACCCAGTAACAATAAATTCTACTTTTTCTTTTAACTTTAGTGTAAAAACTGAAGCTGGAGGAAGGTCTGGGTAAATTGACAGAAGTTAGAATATAACATGAGCAAATATTGTGAGTACTCTTTTATATCTTTTTTCGTGCATAACGGGTGTACAAATTATAATATTAGGTTTTCGAAAATTTTGTTTTTTACCCGGAAATTTGAACGATTTATTTTGTGTTTGAAAACATTAGGGTAAGTTTGATTTTTTTTATATTAGGTGGTAATTATTAGATCGTTTTAACATGAGTGGCAGTATATTAGTCCTGGCTTCATTAATCTAAAATTAACGTTCATATAATGTTCAAACTTCTCTTATTGCAGAGTAAAAACTACGTAAATGGCTCCTGCAATTCACCCACCGTGCACTCCATCAGCATCATGCGCACCGGTGCGATGCCATCCTACACCTCCACCATGCCAAAATCCAGAGCGATGTCTGAAAAAAACTACTTCAAAAGGCATCAAGCCTTGCCAGAGTGCCGTGTCTATAATGTCTACAAGATCAAGGACAAGATGCTCAAGCTGTGGCAAGTTTAAAGGTGCCAATGATCCCAGGAAAGTTAAAGAAATTGAAAAGTTTTTAAAGAAAAAGTCGAAAGAAGCAAAAATGAAGAAGAAAGATAGACTGACGGGAAGTCATAGCTACACAAAATATGTAAGGAAACAAGGCAAACCAAGGTCAAAAACTCAATGTTGTGCTGGAAAAGGACATAGAGGTCGTTTAAAAAAGAAAAAACGCTGTGAAATCTTATAAATTCTAAAGTTTACCATTAATTCCAGAAGCCCTGCGACATTGTAACTTGTTCATTAATATGAAATTGTAAAAAAAATATCGATTTAAGTATACCAAGATCTGTATTCTAAAAAGTTACTAAAACTTAAATAGTATTTCATTTAACAAATAATTATTAAAAATAATAAAATATTTCAATAATCCAATGTATCTACGATTTAATAAAAATTTATATAAATAATAGGCTATTTTTATTTCATCTTTATTTTGAATAACTTATTTTAGAAATTAAGATTATTTAGGAGACCGTTTAATTTATAATGAAATAAAATAATAAAACTATTTATAAAATTTCAGCGGTGTATTCGACGAAAAGCTTGAAACCTTGTGTATCTGCACCAACATGCAGCGTGCACAGGCACAGACCTCGACCAGCACCGTGCCCGGAACCAGACAAGTGCTATAAAAAATGTATAAAGAGAAAAAGTAAATGTCCCAGCGCCTCGGAAACAGTTAGCAGGGCGGGCTTGCCTTGTGACTGTGCTAGAATTCAATCCAAAGAGTCGCGAAGCAGTAACAAACGGACCAATAGAACTCATAGAAAAAGAATTCGTAAAGCTTATAAGAAACGCTCAGCAGAATCCCGTTGGCGTACAAAGAAAAAATGCTGCATTATTTTGTAAAATTATATAGATATATCTATTTTTTAATAATTTAGTCTGCAGCAAACATTATATGAAATTATATTACACAATAAAGCAATCTATAGTTGTCTTTACATAATATACTGAAGGAAAAAATATTAGTACTTAATAGTACTGAACATAATGATTTCTTAAATTTACGCGAACACTACACATTGAATAAAACTAAATTTACGGATTTTATCGAGTTTATTTAACTGATTTTACTTATTTTTAATTCCCGACGTTTCAGGTGCTTTACAGCACCCATGGTCATGGGGAGGGGGGGCTGAGATGTTTGACGTCCCAATGTCATAGTTAGCCCGGCTACCTTCAGTTTTTTAATATTAATTTTTTTTGTCCGATCCACGCAAAACGAAGATAATACATGCCTGCTGAATATGCAGTATTACTCAAACACTGCCTCACATCTGGCATTCTATTGTGGAAGGAAGAGTTCTACAAGCAAGTAAAGGGTGTGGCGATGGGCTCACCTGTATCTCCTATAGTCGCCGACATATTCATGGAGGACTTCGAGGAGAAGAGCCCTTCTTACTGCTCCTGTATATCCAATATTCTACATGCGGTACGTAGACAATACTTTCACAATTTTACCATCTGACGAAGTAACTGCATTTTTAGACCACCTTAACTCTATAAACTCTAAAATACAATTCACAACGGAGTTAGAGGCAAATAATTCTTTAGTTTTCCTAGATGTTTTAGTCATTCGAATTACTACTAATAACACTATTGGTCACACTGTGTATAGGAAAAAGACCCATACCAACCGATACTTAAATGGTGAATCTCACCATCATCCTTCACAGTTAGCTACCGTGGGTAAATCTTTGTTTCAGAGAGCACGAGGGATCTGTGACAGAAAACATCTGGTCGCCGGGCTTCAGCACGTCAAGCAAGTATTGCAAGACAACAAGCTTCGGGTCCCGCGCCTACGTCACAGTGACCGAGTGAAGCCGGCCACAGTCGGGCGTGTGCCTGCTATACTACCATATGTCAGAGGAGTCACAGACAGGATTGGCTACATCTTGAAGCGTGCTTCCGTTAAAACATACTACAAACCAGCGAAGAAGATTAGTCAATTTTTACCATCCGTCAAGTGTAATATCCCTCTACAAGGTGCAGGAGTGTACAAGTTAGATTGTGAATGTGGTCTCTCTTACATAGGTCAAACAAAAAGATCCATAAAAACCCGCGTGAAAGAACATATAGCTGACGTGAAGCACCGACGCTCCGGGAAGCCTGCAGTCTGTGAACATGTTCAAGATCGTCCCCACCATTTCATCAGATTTGATAAACCACAAATCCTTGCAAAAGAACACCGATTCCTACCAAGGAAGATACGCGAGCAGTGGCGAAGCTTCCATTAAAGCCGAAAAGCCAGGCTTGCCTTATTAAACCTGAATCAATCAATAATATCAACTAATAAAATAACTCGTAAAATGTTTCAAGCTATTTCAAATTTCCCGCGCACTCCACTGTTCGACACATGTCGACCGATGACCTCTTATTGCCTTAGCGATACTGCTGCTGTCATAAAAAATGAGTTTTAATAGAGCTAATAGTTGTCTCCCTCGCTCGCGTGGGCTTTTTTACGGGGCTTTCGAGAAGACGATCGCTCTCTTTCTAACCTATGGCAAAATATTCTATAATGAAATATAACTACGATTGTATATATAGCAGTTAGTATAGAGATTTAAAGCCAGGCTTTTGGGAATAAATTTGTTAAAAGCGGAGGCGCGCGGGCAATACGTTTGCAAGTTCATTTCACGTTTCAATGTTTATTTACTCTGTGTGCTTATCTTAAGCGATTTAATATTACGAGTTCAAAATTTATGCTTTTTTAAAGATTTTTAATGAAAATGGAGGATAATAGTGTTCCTTGTGATGAATTGAAGTGTGTTAAAGTGATAATCGGAGAGGAAATCTTTAAACTTTGTTGAGATAATACACAAGGTTAAGAGTGTATTTCAGACTTATCAATTATCGCAATTAAAAACAGTTATTAGTACAATTAAAACGTTCACCAACATTTTACGTGGACGTAATTAAATCTTTCCATAAGAAAGCGAGACGATTCCACTTATCTTATCTTATCTCTTATCCATTAGAATGTAAATATTTTTTTTTTAATTTTGTACATAGTTTGTACTTTGTTCGTGTTTTACTTTTATTCATGTATTGTATTGAATGTAAATATTTTTTTTCTTTCGCTTAAACAAACCCAAACGGCTTTCTTCAAAGCCACCGAAGCTATGCAATTGCTGATATGTAATACAATCTATCTAGCAGTGGTATGCCTTCTGTGTGCTTTGTTAAACACGTCCTTGACAGCACTGAATATGAAACTGAAGCGTGGAGACAGATCAAGATTGGTGTATTTTTATAAAACTGCTAAAAACAACAATCTATATTTTTATCAATTTATATCTTGGGCTTGCCCTAGATTGGAGCTCTAGCTTCGCCACTGTACGCGAGGCTATTGAAATTAAAAAACATCCTAATTTCAATAGAGAAGTTGGATGGGTGCTGCCATCTGCTTGGGATCCTGCAAGATTTCAAGATACTGTAAGCTCATTTTGCGTAGATCGGACCGAAAAATTAATATTAAAAAACTGAAGGTAGCCGGGCTAACTATGACATTGGGACATCAAACATCTCAGTCCCCCCCCCCCGTGACCATGGGTGCTGTAAAGCACCCGAAACGTCGTGAATTAAAAATAAGTAAAATCAGTTAAATAAAGGCGATAAAAACCGTAAATTTGGTTTTATTCAAAGTACTGAACATTATCATCATTCTTCATCGACTTCTTTAGCCCGTAAAGGTCTTAAATAAAACTCAATAGTCACTTCTATGCCGAATAGAACATAACATCAACAACGTCAAGACCTAGAAAGACAGTATTATGGATAAAAAAAACATTTAGTTAGGCAGACAATAAAACGAGCTAACGAAAGAACCAACAGATTTTTCCATCTGTTTATGTGACCATGAAATGAATTGGGCAATCTACAGACAACTATTATTTTTATTCTGTGCTATAGGTAAAAATACGCATATATTTCTTATTGTAAACTAGCTGCGCCCGCGCCTTTGTTCGCATAGAATCTTTTTTAGTATTTTTTTTTAATTTTTATGACTGGCCTAATTTATATGTTACTACTCTATCTACTGTTCTGGAGTAAGTTCATCATAAAACCGATTAAGGGCACGGATGACTTAAACACCGAAAAATATGAAAAAGGAACTAAGGAGTAGTTTAATTAATAAAAACATAGGTCTTCTTGCGATCTTCAATCTCTAAAACTACACACCCGATTGGCCTACACACCACGAATGGATATTACATTTACATTAGGTTGAGGCTCACAAAAAATGTACTTCGTCTGTATTTTTCACGTGCCAAAATTCAAGAATATATAATATATTTTTTGGTAGTTCTTTGAAAATAATCTGATTATTTTCTGCATTGGGAATTATTCGCTTGTTAATATTACTCGATTTAAATTGTGAATACTTTTTAATATAAGCAAAAACAAACTGGTACAAAAAGTTGGTGAGATGTAATTTCATAGAAAAATAAAATGTGTCCATGCGTAGTACATTTTCTTTTTCTTCATTACTTCGTCGTTTGAATAAAGTATCGTGATTTCTTAATGTTATGCTAAATGTAATTGCATAAAACTACTGTTATAATAATAAGTGTAATAAAACTAGTAAAAAAATAATTAAAAAACGACTGAATAAACAAATGTGTTCCATCTGATTCACGTGTGTTACAAAAACTATGTTACATAGCAGCTTTTTTGGTAGAAGCAATAGCAACACGTCATCTATTTTCTTCACAATGGCAACACTATAACTTTCAATATGAAACGTCAGTGTTTTGTCAGACATCATGGTTTACGGGCGGTAGGCAGTACTTGGTGTGTGTTATTTTTCGTCATTGGATTTTAGAGACCTTTGGAAATAATTTTGCAAGGTAAGTAATTACATTAAGTTGTTTTGTAATATATATAGTTGAAAGAGACATTAAATATTCCTAAATAATGCAGTTTATTACGGATTTGCTTTGCAAGTAAAGATGCTACCTGAATTTTAGGTTATGTTCTTCACGAGTGTTTGTTCACGTATGTTGCGTGTGTTACAAAGTTGTGTGACGTAACACACGTGAAAAGTATAAAGCTTAGTTCACATTGCAATACTTAGGTATAGAAAAAGCTAAATATTTATGTTTTGTGTCAAAAAAAGGAGGAGGTTCTCAATTCAACTGATATTTTTTTTTGTATGTATGTTACGCGATTCTTCAGATTCTG